AATCTATAAATTGTGAAGTAATCGATAAATTGTGATTGATATATTTGCATACATGCAATTGTATACTTAAGTAGGTCTGATCGGTCTTTTCATGGATGAACATATTGTTATGGCTTTTGAGGTAAGTGGTCCTTGTATCTGAGTCATTCGCCAGATTTCATTATCTGAAATTAAGCAAAATGAAAATATATGGAAGACTTTTATAAAGCAATCGTGCTACCAAGATTAAGATGAAATAATTAAGTACTAGAAAACGTAACGAAAAATTGAATGCATTTTTTGTAAGAAATGAACATTACGGGCAAGTTATTAAAGTTCGACTTTTGTGGAAACCACAATGTAATACTTTAGTTTCAAAACCAGCGACGACGACGGCGCAATGAAGATTTTGCTCTTGAAGAGGGTTTCTGAAAGGGAGAGATCTAATGAAAAGGTAGAAAAACGACGAGAGAGACAGGGGAATCTATCGATCGAGCAGAACTTCGTCTTTAGAGTAAAAATTATCCTCGAAGAAACATTATAGAACTTCAAATTAATCTTTGGCTTTCATTACTCATCTTGCATTAATATCTGTTTCACACAGAACATTTGATTCGGAAGATGTTCAGTAGTTTTATTTTCAAAATTCAAAACAAGAACATTGAATGCTCAAGACCATAATAATTATTTTTTGAAATATGACATTATTACATTTATAGTATTATTATTTTCCAAATTGGTATTTAAGAACTTGCTTCTTAGAATCTAAAATAAGCCACTAACACAAAAGCAGTCTTTTTCTTAAAATTGCATCCATTTACTTCATTCACAAAAAATCAATTAAATATATGTGTTTAATATTAAAAATTGATATAAATTATCACTCAATTTCAATTATTATTCACATTATCGAAGTGGTTGTTCTATTTTTTATGTTCTGCATTATTGGACTGTGTGGAATTTCACATGATGTGAAATAAACATAAATAGATGAATTGAAAGCGATACCTTGATAGATCACTTTAGCTCATTATTTAAAAACAAATCTGATACAACACGTTGTAGAGATGCAGTGATATGAAATGTTTAATATCTGTATTGCATTGTCTTCTTTAGGAAGCCGTTAAAATTCTAACGGACGAGACATAAAACATATTTGGTTTCTATTGGTAATCTCAATTATATTGTCATTAAGGCGGCCCCACACATACGACATTCGGCGAATCCCGAGCAACCGCTCGCCGAATTCCGAGTAGTGTGGACGGGTTGCTCGCTATTCACCGATCGCCGAGCATTCGGTATTCGTCCTACCTACCGCGTGTCGGACTTGAGGTCACACCATAAGGATCGAACATTCGCCACTCCCTGCTCGAGATTGGGCGAACTGTCACTTGCAATTTGGCAAATGCCGAATGTGTGAGCTGTCTTTTTGTTATTTTATACCCTTCGTTTAAAAACAGTCACATTTTCACAGTCACATTTTGTTCAGTAGAAATGCTCTCGCTAAACCTCCAAGATCAAATGGGCATCTACGTGGAATACGAACCGTGAAAACTGTGGGATGAACGTGTGCTGCAACACGTGGAGGTGTTGGGGTCAGGTGAAAGACGGGAACAAGAAGGGAACGGGTGGTTCAGCTGGGAGAGAATGGGAGTGAACAGGGGTGAGCAGTGAAGACTGGAGAGAGCGCAGGGCAGCATGAGTGAGCGGGGCAGGGCAGGAGTGAGCGGGTGATGGCGAGAGTTGACGGGGAGTGAACAGAAGAGGGCAGGAGTGGGTGTGGGTAAGCGGGGCTGGGCAAGAGTGCGCGATGTAAGAGGGGTGAACGAGGTGAAGAGGATGAACGGAAGAGAGTGGGAGTGAGTGGGAGAGGGCGGGGAATGGAGTTCGGCGGTGTGATCCGGGTGAGAGGAGAGAACGGGAGTGAGTGAGAGAGGGCAGGAGGAGCTGGAGAGCACAGGGGTGAGCGGGAGAGAACGGAGGTGAGTAGAGATGAATGGGGTGAGCAGCGGTGAGCGGAAGATGGCGCGGGTGAGCAGAAGTTAGCGTTGCACGGCGTTGGTGCAGGCGGGTGGGCGCAACAGAAGGATGGAGTGGGCGGGGTCTGGCGGTACCCGACGAGGGTAGGTGACGGCGGGCTGGCGAAGACGAGGTCGAGGGGCGGAGTGGAGGGAGGCCGAGCGCGATATTCGATCTCAGGACCATTAGCTTCCTTGCGATGTCGGGCGCCCCACCCCACCGCTTCTCCTGCAACGCTTTTCGCGCCCTCACCCACGCAACAAGGCTACCCGCCCGACCGCCGGCCCGCCCCGCCACTCACCCCTTCGCACTCCAAGACAAACAACTTCCGCTCTCCCGCTCTCCCCGCCCCCGCGCCCTTGACCCGCCCACGAGTCTGATCCACGCGCGCCCCGGCTCCGCTGGGAATCTCAGGCCGCGGCTTCCGTCGGAGGCCGGCGAAGGCGCTCTCCTTCCCGCTTTACCCTGTTCTCAGCCGATACAACAATGCCACATAGTAAAGAAATAATACAACGCAACCCACGCAAAACAAATAAAATCACAATTACAGATTAATTTTAGTATTTAGATTGAAACCGTGCATTAGAACATGCAAGGTGCTTGAAAACGCCATGTGGTTAATGCAATCATTAACTGTATGAAAGACTGAAATGATATTTTCATCACCATTCACACATCTATATCCACAGCGGCTGGCTAATGTGCGAAGTAACGGGCTACTCATAAAATAAGCCATGTTTCAGACTTAAGCCATAGCCTAAACATTGGCACTCGGGAGAGTGGATATTGTCTCTACTACGTGGAATTCTCTTGTAAGCTGCTGGAGTGATTGATTATTTCGTATTTCCGGGCGCTTCAACTGCTATGGTCATTACCCCCGTATGTGTAGTGTATGTTTTTATCACGGGAGGTAGCTGTTTTCTTCATCCACTGAATGGTTATATCCGGCGTCAACCTACGCTTTGGTTGGGCCCCGCCCCGACCGGAACTAACACGAAGCTGCAGACATGTCTGTCAGTGTAGCGCGTATTAGTGTAAGTAGATGTAAGGAAGGGGTGAAAATAGAGCAAGGAAATAGAGAATGGCGCATGGAAAAACAAGAAGATAGCACGCGGGCCATGGCTTGTTTGTTAGGGTACAAAGGACTCCAGCATTCGCATGGTGTTGATCGAAGAAAACACGGAAAACTGCCGATCAGAGTATCCGGAAGCTACAATTTTCCTCCAAACAGTTGCTGAATCCATAAATTCTCGGCTATCCGGGAGACGCCGCGTCGTTGGCTGGGAGGCCGACGTTTCACCTGACATGTCGCAGACTTCCTCAGGACAGTCTTCCGGATAGCAGCGAATTTATGGATTCGAGCCGCGGAAGCTTACGTGTACATCTAGTTGCTGAATTCAACTTAGCTCTCTAGCTAATGTGCCAAATACTGCCATCTTCGGGACACAAACTCAAGAATCTCTAGGTCAGATGCATTACAGTGACACCACTTCACGCCGTGAGTCACCTCAAGGTATTCGTTGGAAATCCCATCATAATTAATTCTAAAAGTTGTGCTCAATGTTTACTCTTACTCTTTGTATATTCAAGTTCTACGAAACATGTACTACAAAAGTAGTTTTTAAGTCTTCATTACATTGTTTCTAGTTCCAATATATGTCTGTCGTATTGTGTTATCAGCTGGCGCGACGAGTAATGCTGAAATAACACTTCACCACCAGAGAGCTATTGGAGTAGCCCGAGCGATCGCGATTGTCACTTTGCCTGTGTCTGTACTCGCACGTCTTGAATACGTCAAAGCAATATTATTGCAATTAGTTTACATAAATTATTTGAGAAGATTACATAAAATATTTGCTCTTTTAAAAATATTATTAGAATAGGCGCTTACAATATTCAACGCTATAGGTTCGTTTCAACGACTGTACTAGGGACACATTGTAAGATTTATTAATATTTTATTGCACACTCAAAGACAATGCTTTGTTGAATTAAATATTTCTTTTTGCTTCATACCTCATTATTATGAAATATTCTATCTAGATTATTAATTTTAATATTTATATTATCACATTGTTTCACCTCATACAAAGAAGTAAAATATGTTTCTAAAAATTGTTGCTAAAATCAGTATATTAATTTACTGCAATGTACGTGTAATTGTATTTCATCTTAAAATGGCAATTTATGTTTTAAGTAACCGATTACTTAACATGCAGTGCACTGAATTCCATTCCGCTTACTACTCACTGCGGCCGGTGCCGCAACGAATTCCACACCCTTCAGGATGTGGAATCGCAGCACCTTCTCCCTCATTCTCAGGAAGATGTGGAGTCGTGGCAGGAAGAGTGAAATCCCGATTTTACCTCTCCTGGCGCGATACAGATTCGCAATGTAGGACACGGTTGCTCCATCAGTTCTGTGCGACAGACGCTTTAATTTCAGCAGCGATCTTCGGCTGGCACCAGCGAGATCATCTCTCAAGATTTTCAGGGCAGATAATCGAACCTGCAGCAGAGCAGCAGGAGGAAGAAACTTGCACTGCGCATGTGCTAAATTTATGATTGACAGTTGTGTCCGCACTATAACGATCGACTGCTGCTGGACAACTGTCTCTCCGCCGGTGTCGCCCGCGTTCAGTATCGGTGGCAGTTGATGTTCTACGAGCGCCACGCCCATAAGACATCAAACGTGTGGCATCAGATGTTCGCATCCACCCACTAACTCGCCCACACGTTGACGGATTGGAGAGAAGTCGAAGAACGAGAGAAGGTACATTTTGTTCACGTTCAGTATATTAACAAACTCTGCCCTTGAAGTGTATACTAGGAACATCTCTCTCATATTTCCACATTAGTTCACTCAGCTCTTCAATACCTGATGCAGAACTTGACGGTGAATTCTATTCAAGAACGAAGGGTCGGTGTGTGTTGCGGTTAAGACGTCAGAAGTGTGAAGAGTAAAACACAATCGTCGTTGAACTCCTCTTGTTTCCGTCAGCCATGCGTGCGTATGCGTTTCTACAGCTGGCACTTGCGCTTTTAGAGGTCACCGCAGGCAGTGACGAGACAGCCCGATTACTTATAAGGAAGTGCAGTGACACGTACAAAATGCTGTCGGAGGACTGGAAGTGTGTGAGAGCTCCTTGGCCTCCCAAAGCCTCTGTTCAAATCGATAAGAAAGGTTTTGTCCGCTCTCCAGCAGACAGCGAGTGGGTCGCTCGCTGGTGGCCACCCGGCATCTTACTACGGGATCACGACCTACTACAAGTGAATAATAATAATAATTCAGTTATTTTTCATTTTGGTGTGACCGTAAACAAATCTTATTTCTGGGATGAACACCAGATTCTCGACAAGCACGTCTTTGAAGGAAGGGAGGTCTTCTGGAAAAATGACAACATAATAAGGCCCACGACAAGAGGAGTCAGAATAATCTCTAACTACTGCGTCGACGCAGTGAAGTCACCTCTCGGCTTCTTTGGCTTGCTTTTTAAAACGCCATGCCTTTTAGACGACTGCGCCGTGAAGTGCTGCGACGATGGGAAAGTGCTGGTGGAAAAACATGGAAAGTGGGAGTGCACAGCGGATGACCGAAGACAATTTTCGCCGCTTAATTCCTCCTTCAGAGAAGATTTTGATCCAGAGACCCCTGTAGGCGCTGGACTCTCTCGTCACTGCTCTACGGCTTGCAACCCCCGAGGACCGTTCTGCTGATTGGAAGCACTATCGAAATGTCGACCATCAGTTCGCTACCTGGATACCATGTCTAGACCTCTACAAAAACGACACGATCTTAGACGAAGGTCTGTTCTATTGCGAATATCCACGTTTAGCAAGAGGTATGTTTTGGATTATTCGCCGGGTATGTGTCTTTTCGGCGTTCGTTCTGGGGTTGTCACTGCTATCTATTGCATGTGAAAAAAATATGCGACGAAAATTACATGGGTGGTGCCTGGCAAGTCACGCTGTCTGTCTGTTTGCTTTCAATGTTGGACAGATTGTGTATTTTGCGACAATAATTGACACTATAGAAATGGAAAGCGCAGGCACTATACCTTATAACCACCACAATATATGCAAGCCTTTTGGTAAGTTTTTTTACCTTCATTAACTAATGATATTCTCTGTTATACGTACATTTTCGATTATTTTTTAGCGTAGACGTTTTACATATTATTTTCACCGAACTCTCTCGAGAAAGTGTATCATTCAACGGTATTTCATCTCTTTTTGTTGCATTTCTTGCAATATCTTAGTTATCAAAGTTAAGAAAGTAATTGTTTTAACACTATTTCCTTCCTATATTAATCTTGACATAGTCGTTTAATGAAATTGTGAAGTATCCTTACAGTCGGTTTCAAATTCACCCAAATGACAATTGTGATTCAATAAAAGATCATGCGCAAACAGAACCACTGAGAACACAACTAATTAATGCTGACATATATTGTATAAAACCGTAAAAATAAGACCAAGTAGTTAATATACAGGTGCCAGAGAGAAATCGTCGAAATTTCGAAAATAAGCTCTTAAGACAATTTTAAAGATATTTTATCTAATAAACTAATTGGATATTCCAAATGATTGACCTTCAGTAAACACTGAAAAGAATGTTTTGAAAAAAAAACATTTGCGTGGAAGAAGCAATAAACATTCCAGAAACATGTAAATTGTTTATTATTTATAAAATAAATAAATATATTTGTTCAACAAAACATTAACACAGCAATAGAAAAACACCCAATTTTCATAATTCGACTGCAAAAAATTATCTCACGCATGTACTCTGGGCGTTAACTGGTTCCAATGATCGAGCGACGACAAAAAGCTTAACGACCAAACGTTCTTGAACCAATATTTTTTGTCGTCGCTCGGTCATTATAACCCTTAAACGGCTCTTGGTGCATAAATAACTATATTATAATTTTCTAGATAAATTAAACTGTCAATGTATTGCTGTAATGAAGTATGAGAACAGCCAGGTATATGAATCAATCGGGTTTAATATTGTTCGTCATTCCGTTTAATTCTTGCAGGAGGATATCTAATCTTAAAACCGATTGTGTAAATGTAGAGATTGAATATCTAGTACACCCAGTTACTTTAATAACATTGGGTGTTTGAATTGTATGTATTGTTCGATTATAGCGTTTTACTCACAATTGATTATACCTTTCTGCAGCTCTGTGGATGTACTTTTATCTAATAGCTGCCTGGTTGTGGCTTACGGCTCTTTGTGCAAACATGGTGCTGTGTTTCGGGTAAGAAGATTTTTATTGATTCATATTCGATCCGTCAAAATATACTTTATAGGTCTTTACTCCTTTTACAAATATAATGGACCTTTCATTTTAATCCGGTATTTCAGAATTCAATTGTCAGGATGTTTCAATGCTCCCTTTTAGGAGAAATTGTTTATTTTCCAATTCCAAGCAAATTCTGTCTACAATTATTATTTATACCTAGTGCAAACTAGGCTAACTACTTGTGTCTACGAGGCCAACTTTTTCAAAGCTACTGACTACAAAATTCTGTGATACGACTTAACACTATTCTTTATACCGAAAATTTGGTTTACGGCAAAACGCCTGTCGGCCTGTCTTTCTGCCCGTCTGTGTGTCTGTGACTCTCCGCCTGTCACCACTGTCTTCCGGTCTGTCCTCTGCGGTCTGTGGTTAAAGATAGTGCCTAATCCTTTCAGCCTATTTTCTCATAAATTGACATTCTCCAGTCAACCTGGTAGATAAGGTCTTGCAAAATTAAAACAAATACTTTGATTTTTAGGTATAAAGCTACAAGAGCATATTGCAATTTTTTAAAGTGGCTCCGTATTTTTGGATTAATTTTTTCTCACTTAGAGCAATGGACACTTATAAAGATGGCACAGGTCCCATTTTCGTTGAACACTTAATTTTCGAAAATTAAAAATGGTCAAAATTTGGTCACAATCACCACGTAGGAGATATAAATTGTTTCCTAACCGAAGTAAATGATCTTCTGAGATATATATTTTAATAAAGTTGCGTGCAATATTTTCAATGTATAAGAATATTTCACGGATAATTTTGTGTGAAACGTAAGCAATTTACATTATATCGAAATATATTTGAATTATATTGGAGATAGTGTCACTAGAATTTAAACTAGTGGTGGTAAAACACCAAAAACTACGTTTTTGCTCGTACTTTCATGTAAATTTGCGCGGAAAGTACCCAAATTTTCGAACGGAGAGACAAACGGACGAACGGAGGTTTTGGCGCATTCTATTTTTCGTTATCAGGGATACACAAAACATGAATTCTGTCTGCATCACGTGTTAGAGGATGTTTTTTTCTAAATTTAGCAACTGAATTTATTCACTTTTTCTGTACCAGACTCCAATATAAGGTTTTTTTTCTGCCGAAAATTCGCAATGTTTCGCGCAGCATTTCATCTTCTGCATTATCTCTTCTGCGTTAGCGGAACCAAGAAAATAAAACGTTTAAGAATAGTTTTTCAGAGAAAGAGAAAAGAGACACGTGTCAAATTATAGAGGCATTAAATTTTTTTGGACATTTTGTCGTTTATATAGAATACAAATTTTATTAGAAAAGGATTTTCAAGATACGTAATGTCAATATCGTATATTTAATGTTTTTTGTCGGATTTAGAGCAGGGAGATCTTCAATAGATCATGTTTTTACATTAAATGCTGGTCAATGAGAGACACATTTTGTGTTCTTTGATAAGCGTACTGTTTTCCATTTATGCATAATCCATTATGCATTAACCATTATCCATTTATGCATAATTTAAGGGAACCAAAATTAACAATAAAATAATCATTTCAAGAAAAATGTAACAAGGAGGTAATTGTTACCAAGTATATGCTGTTATAGCACAACCAGTGTTATGTACTTCTCTCACTTTTCTTTTTCAGAATTCAAGCGCCATACCTAAGAAGAGACAGCACGAAACGATTCCTTGCATTTTCGGCCTTTGCTTGGAGGTTGGGGGGTGCGCATTGCTGACGACGACATGTTTCTTTCTGTTTAATCCGACGTCTGCCCAAATCAAATATTTAGGGGTGTTGTCATCACAGTGGTACACTCCAACACTTTTGGAGGCCAGAGTGTGTTACAAGGAACAAACCGTTGTAGGCGGCTCATGTAAATATAAAATGCGTCTCAAAAGCCACTACCTCCGGAGTAAAGTCTGCCTCCACTTCTAAGATAAAGCAATTCAATTTCCGCGAATGAAAAGTGATCTTGACCGATAATAACTTTCTCTTGGAAAAGTGGAGAAAGTATAAGTCATTTTTTGTGAGGCAACATACGGTACAACATAATTCTAACTAGAGGACAAACAATCAAACTTGTTCATAAATAGTATTATCGTAAAACACACAATACTGATTCTACATAATATTGTTCCAATCTTTTGTTTTTATCTTTGATATTATAGGTATATATATATTATAGGTATATATATATATATATATATATATATATATATATATATATACCTAAAACTCACATTTGAAAACCTGAAAATTCGCGGTTTAATTATTAGTTTGGTTTTATTACTTTAGGAAGTCAAGTGTCGTAAAGCTGTGGGAGAAATCAGCGATTTGTCTCTAGAAAAATTCTTATTGTGGGAACCTACTGTCAAATGTGTATAAATCTTGTTCCTATACGTAAATAGTAAATTATTTCCTCAAGCGCGTTGTGTAGTCAGAGTCCACGTTTTGAAGGTTGATACCGAAAAGGTCCTTAGTACCGTATTCTGGGGGCCATTTACACGAAGGTTTATCATTTTCAAAATTTCTCAAGAATGATACCAAATTATTTGATTGAATTTTCTCTGAATTTTTCAAACTTGCAAATATTAATTTTTTTCGCCGTCTTACTACAATATTGAAGATAAATATTTTTCTTTCATAAAATATGTTCTTTATATAAGGTCCTTTATATAATATCCTTAAATAAGGTCCTGTAGATTTTTTCGAAAATGAGTTTGCGTGTAATTTTGAGTGAAATGTAGGCAATTATTAAATAATTTTATCATCAAAAGTCTTCAACAAACTTTTTTAACATATTACCCTCAGATAGAGTAAAAGAGTCTTAAAAAAGTACGCAAGTGCCATTTACTGCAAACTCGCTGCATTTCACAAATTTTCCAAAAATAACATTGCAAAAGAACGGTAATGATGACAGATTATTCCGTTTATAAAATATGTTTAAAAAATAGATATATAATGTCAAGTACATGTTTTAGGAAAACAGTATATTTCCAGTAATTTTCGTTAAGTAAAGGAAATTTGTAAAAGAAAGTAGTGATGCTACTGAATGGTACAGATGTTGTCGCACTAGTTACTTTTCCAATCTTTTTAAACTAGACTACCTGTTACTGTATCTTACTTCAAAGTTAGTGTCTAAAGACCAGACTTAATTCAAGAAAAAACATCCAATCCAATGTTGTAGTTGTAGGAAGACGACGAAAAATTAAACTTGTGCAATTGTTCAATATTAGGGATTTCAAGGATTATAAAATCTTCACAATTCTCTGAAGCGTCCTTTACGCTAATCGAGGATTCAGTTTAATAAAAAAATTGAAAGAATTTGAGTCAAATTTGAAAGTGCTGTTAAAACTGTCACCCCCAAAACTCAAAATATTCGTTTCAAACTCTTAGGGGTCTTAGTTCCTTTTAATCGATCCAGGAATATCAATTTTGGAGAAAATCGTTTGAACGGTGTAACAGCTAGCTCTGAGCACAGACAGTCGGACGGACGGAAGACGAACGGAAGACGCACGGATGGACTGAAGACGGATGGACGGATGGAAGACGGACGGACGGATGGAAGACGGACGGACGGACGGACGGACGGATGGACGGACTGACATTTATGCCGTCAATTGATTTTCGGTAATAAGCACTCACAAAATATGGATTCTGGACACACAATGTGTTTGAGGAAGTAATTTACTATAAAAGGGAATAAGATTTATCCACTTTTTCGTTCCTGGGGTTCAGCAATAATACTTTTCTGTCAAAAAATTCTGTTTTCCGACACACGATTACAATATTTTCTCATGTTACGAGTATGGACGAGAAAGTAAAAAAAGTTCAATAAGCGTAATATTTGTGGATAAAACTTTTGTATTATAGACACATAATTGTTATAGATACATTTATCTCGGTTTAAAATGTAAGAATTTCACCTCATTTTTCTGCGCACGCCTTGTGTTTCAGATAAGCCACAAACTACCTTGAAATACGGCACCTTCCTCTTTTATTACGGCCCTGTGGTGTGTTTGGTGTTGTGCAACGTCGTCTGCCTCACGCGCACGTTGAGGAAGGTGCAATACCTTTCGAAAGGAAACTCGATCCTGCGCAGAGAAGAGGATCAGAACTCTTCCAGTTATCGAAATTCGGGCATAAATGACATAGCAAGCGAGGGTGATAATAATTGGGCAAATCAAAGCAGGAATGACAGGAGCAGATTCGGAGCGGTAGATGCAAAGACGTAAGTAGTGAACACGTCCTAAAATAATTGAATTGGAGAAAACAAAAACGTTCAATGTCCAGGAACTTCAAATTTTGAAGAGCACGCAAAATTGTTCCGGACATCGATAATTTTTTAAACATTAATAGTTGAAGAACACTTTACAGTCGTCTCAGAGTTCCCTGTCAACAAACTTTTATGCAGAGGAAGTTGAATTTATATTATAAGAACATTTTCCCACCGCTAACTTAAAACCGGGAAAATGCGGCATAAAACCGTTTTGTTGGCACCGATTCAATTATAAAATGAAAGTACTTTTTTTTAAATTTATCTCGAGTTCGTTTTGTTACAGAATCAAGTTGTACATCAAAATGTTATTGATGACCGGTGGAATCGAACTCATCTCTGAAATCATCTGCTGGGTCACAATGAAATTCCCCTCCGAATCTTCATTCCACCGCTTCGACTACGATTTGCCCTATAGAACCACGGGGTACGTCATTGACTTGTTCCGGGCGGTGTGCGTCGCCTGGCTGGCGGCCCCAGAGGGGGGCTACTGGGCGTCCGCCGGCAGTGGCTGCAGGGAGACAAGAAAACCAGCAGTGTAAACAGTTTCTAAAACAGCGCATCTAAAATTGCGAATTACGGACCACGCTGCTCGCTGCGGTCCGTTGCTCCAAGTGGCAAGTGTCTCCCGCTAAATGAAGTCGTAGGCTTCTGCGACCAGAGTCATGTACGAGATCTGCGTGATCTGGGCTGTCCGGGTGACGCCGCGTCGAAGGCTGTGTTGCCGACGTTTCGACCTTCTTGTCGTGGTCTTCCTGAGGTCTTCCTCGCATACCAGCCCTGAGGAAGACCACGACAAGATGGTCGAAACGTCGGCAACACAGCCTTCGACGCGGCGTCACCCCGACAGCCCAGATCACGCACAAGTGTCTCCCGCATTCACTGGAGCCTAACGTTCTGAACTCTGATTTCAATGGAAGGTACACACCCAGCGATCAGCTGGGACGTGCTTACCCTATCGGGAGCTTTGTTACAAATTATTTTTTTATATTGAATAACGCATCCCAGCTGATGGGAAGTCTACTCGCTCTACATTTAAATCGGAATTTACTGTTCCGCCCTCTCAACGGGCTGACGCCACGTGCAGCGCGCCGCGATGGTCATCTGTAGATATGCGCTTTATTTAAATTTATTTCTTCTTTTTCGCCATTTGGCGTTTCCGGAGTTTGATCATTTCTACTTTTACACAAATACGTTTATAATTTGGGCACATTACTTCTCACTCTGCTAGATTTTTACTACTCGCTAATTGGCAATACCTCGTACACATAGTTATATCATTCATTCTACACACATATCTTCACTGTGTTTATACAAAACACATTCATATATTATTACTTCTTAGGTACATGTACCCTACATAAATATATTCATAAATTATATTTACATTCATGGATTGAAAATTTATAAATTTAAACATAGAGCTGTTATAGATAGTTATTAATTATCATTCATTTTCATTTCGGATATCGCAAACGTATTCTATTAGGATTGTTTAATGTTTTCTCTACTGTACATTTTATGCTGCAGAGAGAGAAATTCAGAAGTGTAAAAACATTACGCAGTGTTTTTCTGGAAATTCGTTTAAGAGTTCTATTTGAAGGTCTCTTGGAATATATGTGTTCGAGATAGCCTTTCCACATTTTCGTAGAATTTTTTTCTCTGCAAACCTGAAGTTTATATTGACTGTCCAATCTGAAGGCAATGTCGGTTTTTGCTTTACTTTTTTTTTTAGACCAGTCAGGCATATGTGACTGATGACCATTTAATGGATTTACGTATTAAAATTGTACGTTCCATATTTAAGGATGAGCGGAACTTTATTAATGGATAGAGTTTCGATATTTTGAATGTTTATATAAGCGCTACGTCAGGGTACCCTTGCTCATCCCCGTTCTGAAAGACGTTATATTAACAATCTCTACTTTCGCCCGGGGGAAGGTTGCAGTGCGGCGACTGAATTGTTGGCACCTGTGCCTAGGATGTGGCGTTTCTCTGATAGCCAAGTATATAGTGACTCCGGTCGAGGAAGCCTAACCTTTCATTATATTCACAAGTTGAAATTAAATATAATTACTAGAAGGGCGAAGACAACACTATCCCGTCGCCACTATCCATATCAAAATATAGGAAGATCATTTACACCTATTTAGAGGAAAAGTGCAATTAGGTTTTTTAATTACAAACGCCAAAAATGGCTATTTCTAAATTAATTATTGATTAAATTGCGGCCAATTTGATATTAAAATTACTAATACTAATAATAATATCATGTTTAGGTCAATATTTCAGAAAATATTGTAAAGTATAAATAGAACCATTAGCCGGCCTTAACAGCGGCGGGTTCGAATCCCACATCGAGCATGGATGTTAGGGGGCGTGTTCATGTTGTCCTTATATGTTCTCCCTACACTTAAAGCAATCACAGTGGTCGCAGTACGACCAAGTTGTTAAAAAGCGACCTAAAAAAGAGAGAAACTTCCGAACATGAACATAAATTGGCACAAACGGACGTAGTGGGTTTGAAACCGCAACCAACGGAAGTCTTTATTTTAAGAAAGGTAATATTTCGTATTAGTAAGATGAGGCATTATAGATCCTTCACTACTTTATTAATATGCATTTTCATCTATTTAACTTTTTTTAAAATTTACATCCAATTTAATTATTTAGTTACGTACTGACGGTATGACATTTCGTTCTTTATATGTGTTTTATTTATACTCTAATATTATTTTTGAAAACGTAAAACATGAAATAAAGGAAAAAGCAAGTGTATTTGATAGATTTTCCAAAAGATGTACCTTCCTTTATATGTGTTAAAATTAACTGTTTATAATTTAATTTATTTTAGATCGCTGTGAAAGCGCATGGCCAAAAGCGAAAAACTTTGTTGCAATAATTTCGAAAAATAACTCTATATTCTCTCATTGTTTAAATAAGTGATAGTATTATTTGGCTCCTATATTGTAAAATACAATGGAAATAATGTAATAAATATTCGTCTTAAGAGAGGAAAATTGTCAGTTTTATAATTCTATTTAGTGCATTATCAGTTCACGATAAATGGAAATTCAGATAAACCCAAACAGATCACAAGCTACAATTTTCCCGTTTAAAAGATTTATAACCTCACCAGTTTTAAAAATCATTAACAATCAGGTTCTCTAACTGTACAATAACCAACCCGCCAAATACCTAGGAGTCAAATTAGATAGGAGATTCACATGGAAGAACCACTTAGTTGATATTGAAAACAAAACGTATGCAAAACGTGTCAAACTTTATCAATTAATAAATAAAAACGCAGCATTAAGAATAGAAAACAGAGTAACAACTTTTAAACCTATATTTCGTCGGTCGCTCGTCTATGCGTGATCAGTCTCGGGAGGTACTGCATACCAGCATATTAATAAATTAAAAATCATCCACAACGAATTTCTAAAACTGGTTACCAAAGCACTCTGGCTTATTGTAATGCACAAATCCAAAGGGAATTATATATTATTTGCATTAAAGAGAAAAAACAGTTGAATGATGATTACTCCTTATTTCTCAAAATTGTGTATTTAGCAAATATCACTTATAATTTAAATTAAAATAGGTTGTTTAAATAATGTGAGGATAGTTTTTCTAATATTTAAGGTTTTATTGTATTCCAAAATAGCATCAATAACAACTGAAATAACAATTTAAATATCTATTCTGCAATCAAGAATTCAAACAGGCACTTAATTTCTACTAAATGCTTGAAGTTTTCATGAATATAATAGTAATTTGTGGTAAACAACAGTACTTTTTTCAAACGACACTCTGCTACTTTGTTTTTTAATCAATCGCAAGAAAAATAAAAGTTTTAACCAAATCAAAAATTGAAAAAAATCATCAATTTATTTCTGTCAAGGGGTAAACGTATGATATTATTGAAATACTGAAACACATGCATCCTATAGACAACGAACAAAAATCATTCATGGGCACCTAGCAAAAGAACAGGTATTCATATGGTGAGGTTTGAGAGAGAAATGGAGAGAGTGAAAGAGATAGAGAGTATAAAAGAGAGATAGAGGGAGAGAGAAAGGGAAAGGCGAGAGATGGAGGAAGAGAGGGATGGAGGGAAAGATAAAGAAAGATATGGGTGGACAGAGGGAATGATAGAGAAAGGGACGAAGAGGGAGAGAGATTTGGAGGGAAAGAGAAAGATGCATGGATGGAGACAGGGAAAGAGAGTGAAAGGGAGGGGGAGAGAGGAATGGAGAAAGGGAGGTGAGAGCAATGGAGCGATATGGATTAAGAGAGGGAGAGAGAAATTACGAGATGTTGCAAGGTGCCTTGTGATTTGCGACATCTAGGGTTTTAGGGAAACGGTCGTCACGAAGCGGGTAGGCAGCAGAGGAGCCAGCGAGATGAGACGGAGAGGGCGAGGGAGAGGGCGCGGGGAGACGGAGGGGAAGGACGAGAGGCGACGCGGCAGAGGGGGTGTTTGATCTGGCTGCGGCCGATGCCTGGTGTAACGCTCTAATAATGAAGTACTTAGGCCGCAGACATAGGGGAGGGAACTCACTCAGCAAAGTGGTCGGCCGACTCGTGAAATGCAGCCCCCAAGATTGCCGGGGCGGCTCCCGGGCACGCGTTGGGGCGGCGCGAGGGCGGGCGGGGACGCGCGGGGCGGGGGCGGCGCGGGGGCGGCGCGGGGGCGGCGCGGGGGCGCGCGGGGGGCGGGGCGGCGCGTTGCCCTGCTGAGCCCCGCCGCCCCTCACACTCCCAGCTCACCCTCCCCTCGCCACGAATCTATAGTCTCTTCTCCCCATGAAGCGCTCGCGAAACGAAGCATTTTGAATACTTCTACTCAATGCTGAGCCAGATTTAGCAACAAGCAAAATACGAATTTTGGTAGGATTCGCACGGTCCGAAAAAAGAATTCGAAAATGTTTTATATTATTTTTGTAGCTGTAAAATAATAAATACATTTTCACTTTTAATTACACAAAGAGCTATTCTATTACAATGAATGTTGTTTAGGATTTGTTTTTCTGAAGAGGAGCCCCAACATTTATTCTGAGTGCACTGTACCTCAATATGACTAACTAAATGCTTGGCTACAGAGGATTGTGCGCTTACCAGATGTTATGAGATAAGGAAGAGGTTGATTCTTATCCGCTGTATATGTCATGTCAGAATTTCGCGTTTGCGTACCGATAGGTACTTCGAAGCGACAGGTTAGTGAATGTAACGTCACAGGTGAGTTCTAATTAAGAGTACAAGACAATTTGGTGGAAGTGACGTAGTTTATCATTGCATTTCTCACCCAGAGCAAATAAAACCATAGCAGCCAACCAATGTTACACATTCCATAATCAAATACAAATATCAAAACTCATTGCCAATCTCACCCTCAGCAGGTTCTCTATTGACCCCCAAAGTATTCTCATAGCTCGAAAATCGTGGTAATTTTGCCCGCCAAAATGTATGCGTCTTGTGCGTCCTTACGCGATATGAAGAAACCACAGATAGCTACAGATCAGAGCAGCCATCAAACCACAGATAGCGACTGAATAAAAATCTATCTGATAAGCTAGTGTCGAAACTCCTGCCACCGTCGGGTCTTGACCCTAGGACCTTCCGGTCAGAGGCACTGCAGTGCCATCCCTTGCTGCCCTGAGCCACCTCAGCCGGCAAAGGCTGCAAGCACATTGCACGTAGCTCCCTGGCAGAGCGTGCGCTGCGTTG